GGACACGATTTCGCCATTATGCAACAATTTGTCTTTATTCGAAGAGCCAAGTTTAAAACTTATACTATTCGTCGGCATGTCTTCATTCATAATATTAGAAAATAGTTCTTTTAAATTGTCTCCTACACTGCCTTTGAAAGTCAGCATGCCCAGTTCATAGTTCCATGTGATAGTTAGGTCAGAATTGGAGCTCACAAATTTCTTATATTTGCCACCGGGTGATAGCCATTTGCCAGCCTGACCAATGGCATTTTTCGTAAATATTTTCAACATGTCAAAAGTATCTATCCATTTAATTCGATTGCCAACATAAGTAAAGCTATTTGCTTCTTTGTAGCGAAGTATTTCGGTCAAGTCCCAGTTATAAAGATTGTTTTGAAGGCAACTGACAGAGCTAGTCAGAACGCGACCGTCCGCCATCTTCAAGATAGCATCAACTAATGTTGATGCCTTTCAGTGTAGATGAAAATTTCGATTGTAAATTTTATAAAGTACTCAGTTTAAACACGAGTAGGAGACTAGGAGTGTCTTATCAGAGTATAAAACGCGAGGCGCAGCCGAGCGTTTTATGTCTGATAAAACACGACAACGAGCGTTTTAAATAGCTTAAAATACGACTACAAAATTAAAATACGACTACAAAAGAATGCTAATTTAGGGTGAACAATTATATAATCATACTAATTAGGATGAATAATTATACTAAAGGTGCTAATGAAGATGAGTTTTATCAGATATATAAAGTCACTCCACGTGACATATTATTGCTGACATGATTTGCCTCAAGGTTTGTGAAGTATTAACGAGTATTTTTACTGTATTTTGACCTAACCAGGAGCAGCTGCGAAAACGCAACTATGAAGCCCTCTGGCAGGAATGGAACCTGTGGCCCTACGAATACGATGCAGCACTCTAACGAACTGAGGAGAAATAATTTTAGACAATGGCACTCTGAGTGGCTCCACACCAGTCAAGCTATTGAAAATTGCTGCATATCAACATAACCAGGCTGGAACAGACTTGATCATGACTTTGAACCGCGCGATATGTAACTTGCACAGGCGTGCCAGGTGCATGTGGATCCACTGATAAAAAATCCTTTTTGTGGATACTTAATTAAATTAATAAACGAAATCATGATCAGAAACTGTTCTTGCCGGCATGCATTCGACGCCATGCCGGAGCGGGAACGTTATCTAGTCATATCTATTTTATTTGGAACGTGTTTTTCTCCAAAAATTAAATTAAGGCCGCCATATCAGTCCTGTCGCCTTAGGGGCTGTTCACATTTCCCCGATTTTCTGGTACGTGATTATCAACTGCATGAGGGGCGGGATGATTTTCATGTATTCGCTAAAGTCATGGTTCATGATTCAGCATAACTGTATTATTTTTCTAGTGAAAGATTATATATAGTATAATTCTAAACAAAAGGTTGTTCAACGGCAGCAATAATGATCTTCTTGAACTGTCTCCCCTCCAACACCGGGATTTCTTCACTTTAATTAATCGATCTAACTTTCCTTTAAAGCCCAGTAACGTATTTCAATGGCATCAAAATTCATCATTCTGCCTTCTAACCTGGCGCCAAACGGCATCAGCCTGAAACAGCCCTTATATTGATATAGTCCCTAAATTATAAAGGCCGAGACACACCGGACGTGATTCTAATATTTAGCAGCGCCGAGTAACATTTTGACTAATAATTTTTGGTCTACATACATATCTTTTAAAATTTCCCGTTTCATTTGGCTGTTTTGTCAACTTTAACTGAAGCTGAAGAATCGCGTCCGATGTGTCCGGCCCGCTTCCTCAAGGGATTGATTGCAAAGTCCACCAATATATCACTGGAAATTGTTTCAAACTTAATAATTATTCTTCCTATGGAAATAGTAGAATACAGGGTGTATAAAAAAAACGGAGTCCATCTTTTGTACTTATAATAACTATCGGCCTGCTATATTTAATAAAACGGTTCTAGGCTTATTTTAAGGTCTGCTCATTTATCTTTCGAACAAATGGTCATCCGTGTCTTTAGTGCAAGTGAACTGCACAGGAGAAAATTTAGTAAAACCTATAATTTTTAGATGCCACTCAATTATACAAATTTACTATGATATTCCATAGTCGGTTACAATGTTTGAATTTTCTTGTTCACACTTTAATGTTCTTGTTGCCACATCAGAAAAACTAGTAAAAACTTGTTAAAAACATTCTAAAAGAGATTAGGTTGTTTTATTTATTTCAAAATCCTAAATTATTTCCAGAAATCATCAAAACAATCTTATGTCCATGCATGCATCGTCCGAACTAACGCCATCGAATCGGGCGCAATGTAAACGTAGTAAATTAGCAAGTTGAAGGCAAGCTAAAACACGCTTCAGCTGGGAATATAAACGCATTTGAAGTCAGCAAGTGAATTTAAAATAGTGTATTGGAAGCCTTTATTGCCAAAATGCCTCAATTTGCTCGTTTTGTTGACAAAATAAGTTATTTTCATCAAGTACCGATTTGTTATTGCATCTCAAATTTTTGACTCTCCAATCGCAATCACTTAAAATACTATTATTCACGAACTACTGGATTAAATATACGAAACAACCCATCGTTGGAAAGCTGAATGTCTACGCTTTAAAACAAATGTAAACCTGAACGTTTTACTCTAATATTCGTTTCGAAATTTATATTTGAAGCGAGGACTCCGTTTTTTATGATACACCCTGTAGATATACCATGTCTATGGCCGGATTTAGTGATGAAATCCGTGTAAATATTTTTCCCCGTGTAAATATTATAATTATTATTATTATTATTCAGTCTTTACAGAGGATTAAAAACATTTCAGTGTTCTATAATGACACTGTCACCAAAACGCGGTGTCGTCAACATGTAAAATATATAACTATAGTCTATATACAAATATATATACTCTAAAATCTAAATACAAAAACCTATATAAAACAGCCGATGGGATTGAGTCTAACTATAAGTTCTATAAAAAAAAATTCAGTCTAAGCCAACTTGCCACTGTTTTGTTCTGTATGATTGACCTGACAGATCAATTATAAATTTTGGCACCATGGAAATAAAACTGGACTGCCTATAGCAAATTCCACTTCACTTCAGGAAAATTTACGCTGAATCCCTCATTTCTGGTGCAGTGTTGGAATTATGCTCATTAATCTGAAAGTAATCGTGACAATTGTTACATATTTGTTTATTGGCTATACAGTATACATTGCCTTAGTGTCTTGCAAGCTCTCTTGTGCAGACTCCGTACAGTAGAAGGCACCAGAGTTTCCGAGCTTGAAGTCATGTTTCGCACCGCTCGGAGTTCACTGATCGATCCATCCTACTAAGTTGTGTATCAGAAAAATGTTGATTTCAGCATTCCCGTATATGTCATAATAGGTTGAATCATCGTTTGGCGATCCTTACAAGCCTTTATCACTGAATTATCCCGCAGTGATAGGCTCTTATCCCGCAGTGATATGCTATTATCCCGCAGTGATAGGCTCTTAAGAAAGGCATGTGCTAAAACCTGGACGTTGGACTGGACGATGGACTGGACAAATGGACGCTGGACGATGGACGTCCATCGTCCAGGTTTTATTGGACGATGGACGTCAATCGTCCAGGTTTTAGCACATGAAATACTATCAAAATGAAGAGAAAAGTGAGATGAATATACTGGTATACGGCCGAAAAGAGAAAACCAACGATACCGAAGTTTAATCAAATGTACTGCATTTTTAATTATAGTTTAATAATTTTGAGCGATTTGTCAACAAACAATTTCGCTTGACTTTCAAAGGCCATAAATCGCTAGAATACTGTTGTTTAGTAATACATTTGACATCCGTAAGTACAATTTCTTACGCTGAATCGAAGGGTGATATTTTATTTTGAGCGGCTTGTCTTTCAAAACCCATGAATCGCTGGAATAGAAATTAAATTAATCAATTTTGAAATCAATTTCCCATCCATAAATACAACGTTTTAAGGCTAGTTTCCACTCAGGAAAATTATCCGTGGATTGGAACAGACAAGAAAATTTTTCTTTGTGTTAAAGTCATTAGTTCCAACTCAGAGCTCACAAGACAAAGAAAAATTTTCTTGTTCGTTCCAATCCACGGATAATTTTCCTGAGTGGAAATTAGCCTTTACGCTGCTTCGAACAGTGGTATTTTTGTCCATGTTTGGCGCATAAAACCAGAGATAAAGCCCAGCAAGCAGTCGGTCCTGAGAGTCCAAGATTACTGATTAATTTTCCCGCAAAAATGAATAAATTTCGAGCACGCGCAAGGAATTTTTACTAGGCGATTAAGGGGCCGATTACATGGAGCATTTTCAACCCCGGGGTTGAACTCAGCCCTGTTAACCGGGTTGAAATTTTTTGCGATTATATGGACGATTTCAACCCCGGGGTTAAAACGTTATACTATACGTTCGCGGCATCGATTAGTGGAAGTAAAAAAAGCCTTTATTTTGTCTTCTTGTAATAAATAGTCACTACCACGTATGCTCGAATAACTCATGTGATAATTTCAGCCCTGGGTTGAAACGATTACATGACAAAATTTTCAACCCAGGGCTGAGTTCAACCCCGGGATTGAAATTTCAACCCTGCTAGCTGAAGCAGGGTTGAAATTTCAACCCCGGGGTTAAACTCAGCCCTGGGTTGAAAATTTTGTCATGTAATCGCGCGTTTGATTTTGATAGAGTTTTGTATTACAGACAGGGCTGAAATTTCAACCCGGTAAACAGGGCTGAGTTCAACCCCGGGGTTGAAAATGCTCCATGTAATCGGCCCCTAAGGAAACGTATTGATGCGAACACATTAACAAACGGACAAACTCACATGCAGAATATAATGCGGTGCCAAACTTGGGGGCTGCAATTTCAGTAAGTCAGTAAGGTCATTAAGGTGTGTCAAATTGATAGTATAGTGACGAAGTGATAGCCAGAGACCAAGGGTGGGTTGACTACAAAATTTTTGTAGTTCGCTATAACTACAGCTACTTCAAAAATATGTAGTCAGCTACAACTACTGCTACTTTTGAACAAAAGTAGTTCGCTACTGACTACAGCTACTGCTTAAAAAATGTAGCGAACTATTTCGCTATTTCGCTACTCTATATTTTTTAGTTTTACGGTATTTGGGCTCAGGCTGTAATTTAACCTATAACAAATCGACTTACGAGTAGCAACAGTAAACAAAAGGGTCAAAGCAACATTTTTGTAAGCACTATACACTATACACGGTGTTCAGGAGTGCCACTTTTCAAAGCGCTAAAATAATCTTAACTGTATAAAATAATCTTTTAAGCCAAACCGTGTCTTAATATCATTCTATTCTATGAACGGTTGCTAACAATTTTAAAAAGTAGCGAATAGCGATTCGCTGTTCGAAAAGTAGTCAACTACTTGGCTACTTTTAGGCAAAATGTAGTTCGCTATAACTACAACTACTGTTTTAAAAAAGTAGTAAAAAACTACTGGCTACTTGAAAATTGTAGTTCGCTACAGTAGCGAACTACAACTACTTCGCTACTACCCACCCTTGCCAGAGACTGAATTTGGAGACTGAATTTGTTGAGACGGCTGTAGCTAAATAAACTTGTCCATCGTCCAATAAAACCTGGACGATTAGATGGACGTCCAGCGTCCATCGTCCAGTCCATCGTCCAGGTTTTAGCACATGCCCTTAAGATACGTATCAGCTATGTTGCTGCATTGTTTAAATTAATACCGTCATACCGCGAAATTTTAACACCAGCTGTTGTCTTAACTCCTTGTAATGACAGCCTCTTCGCCGTTCCGAATAACGTAACCATTAACCTCATTCGTTTTCATCAAAGTATTATAGCAAGTTAGCAACGTGTTTCAAGTCCGCTGTTAATGTTCCTTCAATGGTTTCTACACTTTTGCAGCCGTGTAGCTAAATTACCGAGTCGTCGGCGTATACATCAAAACCTGACTCTCCCGGCCTGATACAATCCACAAAATCATTGTAGAATAATATAATATAATTGTAGAATATTACAATTTTGTGGTTTGGAAAGTACTTTGGGCAGCCAAGAAATATAATATTTAAAAAGATAATAATTTATGAACCATCCATTTTCATCCACGACTGCATTGTACATGGTACATTGTATCTTCATTGATAATCCCCGAGCCGGCGGCGCGAAGCGCCGTGCGAGGGTACTAATTCCCCCCGGCTATTTACACCCGGGGAAACAAAAGCATTAGCGGAGTCTAAAGTTCATCAAATATCGCGGGCGTGGGTGACCAACGGTGTTGAGTGGGTGGTCATCCTCACTGATCTCAAAAATATGGCGGACTGTCATGGATAGCGAACACTGATTGGTCAAATTTAAAATTTGTTGTTGTATGACAAATGACGACTTCAACTGACAGATACTCCATGAAAATAATTTGCTTTTTACACTACAGTATTTTGTACGTTTGCAAAAAACTTTGACAGCTTTCAAAGCAATTTGTTCTATAAAAAGTTTAATAAAACAATTAAGGTATCAAATACCAATTGAAAAGATATGGAGCCAAATGAAGAGCGGCAAGGAAACGACAAGAAAGCCGAACGTCTAGCGAAAAGGAGGGAGCGAAGACGACAACGTTTGCTCGAGGAGACTGCTGAGGAAAGAGAAGCTCGCCTGGGAAAGCGTAGAGAAGCATGGAAAAGACTGCTGAGTGAAGCGAAAGGTAAGAAAAGGCTTGTCTTCACAACGCTATGTAGTAATCTACTAATGTTACTGTAGCTATACGAGTTGAAGTATGATATTCGACCCTCTATATTCGACTGTTTCTTCACAATTTTCCAATAAAGAGTTTGTCAAGACACGCTCAAGTCAGTATAACCAGACTGTATTTTATTTATATCAGTTATCACAGCCACAGGCAATTTTATGCTGTCAAATACCGTCGGTTGCAACTAAAGGTGAACAGTTGCAGATAAAACATTCTCTATTCTCATTAAAAAGCCTGTAAGGGTTTCCAGTAGGTCTCTAGCCCAACACGTTCAGACCACACAAAGTTTTTTTTACTTATTATTGTACACATGGGAAACAACAATTAAGTGTTGTTGTTCTTGACAAACATTGGAGATTCTAATCACGCAAATGTTTTTATGAGCAACTGTTCATCGTTAGTTGCAAACGACGGTACAACATACTATGAACATTTTTCCGACTGTGACCGAATGTGCAACGATATAATTTTCAAAGTTGTTATCAATTCCTAAAATTTGTTTATAGTAAAAGGGCCTGCTCAGCACTCACTACTCACGTTGATCCGATTTCATTTAGAAATGCAGTTACCGGGAAAGGAACTGATTCTAAAATATGTAAATTTAAAAGCATTGGCTAACAGAATAAAGCGATCGATGAAGACAAGGTACAAACTTTTATAGTTGCTATTTGTATGACGAGACAGACGGCTCCAGGTTCGCAGCTCCAGGTTCGCGAACCTGGAGCCAGCTCCAGGTTCGATTTCAACCTGGAGCTGGAACGACTAGTTTGTAAATAAACTGCTTTGCCCGCTTAACCACTAATGGAAATCCAATTGTTTTGAAAGACCATTTTTACTTGTCATATTCCTTAGTACGTGAGGGAAAATGAAGACATTATTCCGTTCCGTTCGTCCATGGTAGCTTGTGAAAGATCACTGTTTTTTTCTGACAAAAGGGCTGGTCAGCGGTGGGATAGATCGCAAAGCTCGTTTAAAACCTTATTTTTTTACCTTTATAACGAAAAACGTAAAATTTTGATTGATGACCATTCTAGAGAATGTATTCAAAAGTAATGTCAAGCGTTGAACCTATTTTCATATCGCGAAACCGCGATAAATAACTCGCGCAAAGTTGAACTGTCTAATTTCACGCAGGGCTCGGTTGTGTTACTTTTATCCTTCCGTAAATACAACAACTTTGGTATCTGTACATTTACGCTTTATATGAGTAATAATTTGATATGTTAATGACATAATATCATTTGTTGCGCTTTTCTGAAGAACTAACGATATAAACATGCTTAATATCCGAAACACACGACGCAAACAAGATCGCTAAAAATGGTGTTATTATGCGGCTCAAGTCGTCGAAAGGCCACAACATGTCAAATACATCTAGCATCGTCTAAATTGCTTGGCAAATTTCTTGCTAATTTCGCCCTGCTACGAATTTCTAAAAGATGACCCTTCTAGACTAATATTCATTCTATCATATTTTACAGCATTTGAAACTTTAGGATACATATCCACCATGAGCAACTCGTGAAAACACTAGCATTCGTTACCGAGATGAGAAATCACCTTTCAAGAGATGTGAAATATTACACCTAAACAATATTCCGTGTTATCTGGCACGTGCTAGACATTTAATAATCTCAGGGGAAAACCGTATTAACTATAACGTCATGCATAGGTTTATATACGCTGTATTCTTTTTTTAACACGTGAGCTAAAAACATCGTTTTTGCCCGTATAAGTTAATTAATAGGAGTGGTGTGTTTTAAGCCTTCTTAATTAACATAATCAGCGTAATCGCAAATTCAAACCTACGCATGCTATAAAAATATTTTATCTTTGTGAAAAAGCGTAGTGTTTTTTCATGTATTGAAAAAATACAGCGCATAACTAAACAAGGAAAATTGCCTTGTTCCTATAAACCTATTCCTCGGCACTCTTAAATGCCTTGCCATGTCCTCATTGCATTTGCATGCCGACATTATAGTTAATACGGTTTTCCCCTGAGATTATCAAATGTCCGGCACGTGCCAGCTGATGACGTGTTTATTGTTTACGTTTAATATTTCACATCTCTTGAAAGTTGATTTCTCATCTCGGCAACAAATGCTAGTGTTTTCATGAGTTGCTCATGGTGGATATGTATCCTAAAGTTTCAAATGCTGTAAAATATGATAGTATGAATATTAGTCTAGAAGGGTCATATTTTAGAAATTCGTGGCAGGGCGAAATTAGCAAGAAATTTGCCAAGCAATTTAGACGATGCTAGACGTATTTGACATGTTGTGGCCTTTCGACGACTTGAGCCGCATAATAACACCATTTTTAGCGATCTTGTTTGCGTCGTGTGTTTCGGATATTAAGCATGTTTATATCGTTAATTCTTCAGAAAAGCGCAACAAATGATATTATGTCATTAACATATCAATTTATTATTCATATAAAGCGTAAATGTACGGATACCAAAGTTGTTGTATTTACGGAAGGATAAAATTAACACAACCGGGCCGTGCGTGAAATTAGACAGTTCAACTTTGCGCGAGTTATTTATCGCGGTTTCGCGATATGGAAATAAGTTCAACGCTTGACATTACTTTTGAATACATTCTCTAGAATGGTCATCAATCAAAATTTTACGTTTTTCGTTATAAAGGGAAAAAAATAAGGTTTTAAACGAGCTTTGCGATCTATCCCACCGCTGACCAGCCCCTTTGTCAGAAAAAACAGTGATCTTTCACAAGCTACCATGGACGAACGGAACGGAATAATGTCTTCATTAACCCTCACGTACTAAGGAATATGACAAGTAAAAATGGTCTTTCAAAAAAATTGGATTTCCATTAGTGGTTAAGCGGCAAAAGCAGTTTATTTTCAAACTAGTCGTTCCAGCTCCAGGTTGAAATCGAACCTGGAGCTGGCTCCAGG